GCGGGGCTCGGGGGTGGGATGCGGAGAGCCTGCAGGGAGCGCGGCGTGGCTGCGCCGGCTCCGGAGCTCTGGGCGTGCGCGCTGCGCTCTGGCGGAGAGCGCGCCCCGCTCCACTTTTATTTCCCCGTGGCGGACCACGTTGAGAACAACAACAGCCTGGGCCCAGGCCAGCGCCAACTTGTGCTTCTTGGAGTGCCTTCCGCGGCCGCTGCCTCCTCCGCCCGCGGCTTCCGGGCGCGGGTGCACCCTCAGCAGTGTGCCCTGGCCAGGGTCCGAGCCCGCTGTGCGGCGCAGAGGCAGCCTGCACCTAGGAGGAGCTCGGCGGAGGGGCACAGAGGTGTGTACCCCAGGCTGCACGGGCGTGGAGGAAGGGGGGCGCCCGGTTTGGAAACGATTATCACGGGCCCCGGGCGAGACCCCAAGGCCCAGAGCTTTGCAGGCGGTAGCCAAGGGTGCTCCTCAGGCACCCGAGTTAGGTCTGGGCCCAGGGGACCACAGGCCTACCTGCAGGAAGGGCTTTAATTTGTCTGAACTAACACAGGGTACGCCCTCACGCGGCCAATAGGAGCAATGCGAGGAAACGAGAAGGTTCTGGGGCGGGGGTCTCCTCTAGATCCTAAAGGAATAGAAGAAGGGAGGTGCCCTGAGGTTGCGTGCTGGAGATCTTGGGCTTTGGGCACCAGCCCAAGGATGTGTCAAGGAGGGCACAACCACGAGGGCTTCTCCCCAGACACTGCTCACTGCTCCCTGGTCCAAGTACCCCATTTTGTGATGCTTAAGTAGCTGTCTCTGGTGCCCTAAAAACCAAGTGGGGGCTCCAGGATGGACAAGTGTAAGGTTATGAGCTCCTGAGGCATGTCCCTGAGAGGGTGTGGCTTTTGGGGAACTCTGCAACATTTGGTAATGGAGGGCTTAAAGGAGGTAGTGCAGGAAAGACCTGAAGCCTAAGAGGTTAGGATGACAGTGGAGCAGGGGTGGTTCAGGCAGTGGCCTGCTTGTGAAGGACACAGTAGATACCACTAGAGTCCATGCCAGCTTTTGGCTGATAGGTGTCAAGAAGTTCCCTGGCCTCTTGAGTGAAGGGAGCACTTCTGTTGATCAGAAAGGCCCTAACACACTCCACTGGCCTCAGAAATGAAAGGGAGACCCAAGATTCTCAGCTCTCAGCTTCAGAGATGCCTTTCAAACTACTGGATCCACCTTCCTCCCTACCCCACCCCTGTATTTGAATTTTTCTTTGGGCCGCTATGGGAGTCCAGCTCCCACCTTTCCTAGGGTTCTTAGATAGAGCGATATGGAAGACGAGAAGAAAGACAGAAACACAGGATAGCTTCAGGAGGGCCTGGATCAATACCCATCAGCCTCGTCCTTTATTGAAAAGGGCTTGTTATAATATGCCAAGGGGAGAGGCAAAAGACCTCCCCCTTGCAAGATCAAAGCACTCAGTACAGCCAAGTGTAGACCCTTTTAAACACCTGGTAAACATGCCTGTGACCAAATCATCTCATTATGCAGCCCTGCTGGGTAAAGCAAGCTCAGATTCTCTGACCCTGAGTAAGTTCTCACTAGGAAGCCTCTGTGGGCCACCACAGATCCCCCTTCTTAATAATAATATAAAATGAGGGTACAGAGCTTAACTCTATTCACCTCTGAATCACCTTTCCACTAAGAGCTTGCAAATAGCTGTAATGATCACAGCACTACACCTACCCCTTATGGCTGCTATACCTCCCTGTAAAGGACTAGAGGATGATCAAGATAGAATGGCCTTTTTTGAATGGGTCTAAGATATCTATAGCAGTCTTAGCTACACCAAGCCCTTTTTTTTAAATCAATAAACTCCTGATGCAACTGCATCAAATAAATCAGTAAACTTCGTTTGCAACCACATCAAACCTAAAGACTCACTTAGCATTACCATTACCATTACCATTACCAGGTTAACATAACCCTAGCATGAAGATTACTATACACAATTATAATTCTCACAAACTTACATACAAAAGCAAACTCACTAGAACTATGTTCACTTTACAAACTTTAGCAAACATCCAAATCTCTTAATAGAACTTGTTGCATTTCCTAAACTTTAGCAAGCATCCAAAATCAATTTCTTTATAGAACTATACACTTTTTGCTAACAAAACATAGGGTACATTAACACAAGTTAACATTAATCCACTCAACAAAATATTTTTTTTAATTAAATAGACTGAGGAATATTAACTCCCCCTTTTCTTTATAATTGAACCTTGGTAAAAAAACAAAAAACAAAAAACAAAAAAAACATTCTTCATTTCTACACAAAACTAGTTCCATCCATTCCTATATAACAGTTCCATAAACAGTTCCATTCCAAACAGTTCGTGAGTCACCACAGTCAATAAAGTATATGCATACACAAAAAAATCGTAAGTCAGACTGTATCGTAAGTGAAGTCAAAATTGTTCCATTGCAACTAAACTGCTCCTGTTCATCCCATTTCTTAAGTCTAAAAAGCTCAAAAAGACATTTCTGGTACCAGTCTTAAAGTTCCTCTGAGTGCTCGAAATCAGGGCCGGGCTTGTCAGCTGCCCGGAAGTCTCTGTATAGCAATCCAAGTCGTAATGACTCTGAAGCAAACAGCTCCAAATATGAGAAGTCCTACAACCAATATTTTTTTACATTTTCTTTGCCTGCAGCAATTCAGTTCAAGCAGTCTCTGAAACTTTCATTCTCAGCTACAGCTGGGCTTTGCAGTCTGTAGCCTTCCTCTAAGGCAGTTTTGCTCCAGGGCAAAGGCTGTTAGCTCAACAATAGCTGGCTGGTGCAGACCTCTTTGGAAGAGACCTTCTCACAGTCAGCAAGCAAACTGCACAGCTTTTTTACAGCCCCAGTCCCCAGGCCAGAGGGCTCTCAACCACCTCTCGCCTCAGGAGCTCAAGGGAGGAAACCCAGCCACTACAAGCTGCGGCTTCATTGGGTCCCGTTACCTGCTCTGCCAGCGGCTTGGTGCTCAGCACCCGGGTCCCGGAAGCCTCTGTGCACTGCCCTGCTTGCCCGGCCAAATGCCGCCAGCCATTTGGCTCTGCTTCACTCTGCTGCTGGGAGCCCAGGCTGGCCTGAGTTCCAGCATGTCTCACCCAGGCATTCTCTCAGCTAGCAGTCTTCCCAGGGTCTGCAGCACCACCTCCGCTGTGGTCCTGCCCTGGTGGGATGCTGCCTGGCCTCCCCAGGGCTTCCCCAGCTCACTGCTGCTTGCAGTAGTCAGGCCTACCTTGGTGTCCCCTGAACATACACACACTCAGAGTCACCTGCTGTCTGGCCCTCCTGCTGTGCACCCTGTGGGCATTCCTCTCTCTGGAGGTTTTGTCTCTGGTGCAGCCGCCATGGCACCCTAAGCGCTCACCCTTCAGATGCCTGCTCAGCTCTCCCAAGCATCCCTCTCTTGGCTGTGGTCCAGGGCTGAGGTTAGAAGTCCCAGCTGCTGCTAGTATGCCTTTCCCATGGTGTCTCTGCTGGGCTCCTCAATGTTGAGCTTTGCCTCTAACCATATCTCTCCGGCTGGCTGACTGCATTCTCCGCCAAGGCTCTTTCATGGCAGAAAGCATGCAGAAACCTGCTTGTTCTGGCTCTTCGCTTCTGCTGCCTCTTCGATGACGCCCTGAGGGTCCCAGCTGCCAACGCCTGGCTGGGACAGCCACTCACACTCTGCCACTGCAGCTTTCTGAAGCTGGCAGTCTCTGCAGGGACTTTTTCGTTCTCAGACTGCTCAGTCCTACCTGGACACTGCTTTCTGTGTCCCAGGTCCTGTCCATGCTGCGGGGCAGGGGGGGGGGGATCCCTACTCTACTGTAAATTACTTTATATTAAACCTTCACCATATCCCTGGACCTAAAACTTATATTCTCCAAACTTCACCAAATTTTTTTACAACTTTAAACCTAACTTACTAAATAGAGAGAGAGAAACATAGACAGAGATAGATACTTGGTGCAGCCTATCTTTACTTTGCTTTATATTTACAATTTTATTCCCAAAGAATAGAATACCCCTGCCTCAACTTAATTCATTACCGGGCATGCCTCCCTGCTTCAAGGTGCCTCCTCTCTTATCCTTTGTACCTAAGCCCCATATTCTGGTGCCATTTGTGGGTGATTGTGGGAGTCCAGCTCCTACCTTTCTCACCTTTTCTAGGGTTCTTAGAAGGAGGAGAGAGGGATAAGAAATGTTAGGTAGAAAGAGAGATCTAGCCAATGAGAAGACAGACAGAAACACAGGATAGCTTCTGGAGGGCCTGGATCAATACCCACCCACCAGCCTCAAAGGTTTATTCAGAAGGCTTTTTATAACATGCCAAGGAAGAGGCAAAAAGACCTCCCCCTTGCAAGATCAAAGCACTCGGTACAGCCAAGTGTAGACCCTTCCAAACACCTGGTAAACACACCTGTGACCAAATCATCTTGTTATGCAGCCCTGCTGGGTAAAGCAAGCTCAGATTCTCTGACCCTGAGTAAGGTAAGTTCTCACTAGGAAGCCTCTGTGGGCTCCCACAGGCCACCAGCTCACAAGCAACAACATGGAGACTTATGAAAACTTGGCTTTAGCTTAGGCTTGTTTTGATTTTTTGTTTGTTTGTTTTTTTGTTTTTTGTTTTTTTGAGACAGGGTTTCACTGCGTAGTTTTGGTGCCTGTCCTGGATATTGAACTCAGGTCAGGCAGATCTCTGTAGACCAGGCTGGCCTCGAACTCAAAGAGATCCTCCTGGCTCTGCCTCCCAAGTGCTGGGACTAAAGGTGTGCACCCCCTCCCAGCCTTAGGCTTGTTTTTAACTAGCTCTTACAACTTAAACCATTTCTATTCATCTATGTTCTGTCACCTACCACCCACTCCTGCTTCCTCCATGTCTCCTGGAGTCTCTCCCAGGCACCTTGATTCCTTGTCTTTCTTACTCTGTCTGGAAGTCCCACCTGTACCTCCTATCTAGCTATTGGATGTTCAGCGTTTTATTACACCAATCACGTCAATACACCTTCATCCAGTGTACAAATATCCACAACACACCCCATCAAAGGAAGGGGTGGTAAGGAGCCTCAGGACGTTGGCCAGGGTTTAGCAGAGGCCCGATGGAGCTCGTTGAGACACTGTATGGGGAGGCTCTCCTGGACTCACTCCCCTGTCTCCAGAGCAGCTCACTGGTGGCTTCAGTTGCCATCCATGGGCTGATGACACCCACTTCTACCTCCCCCAAGCAGAAGCCTGCTGCCTCCTGTCCTGTGCACTGGGATGCTGCCCACAGGCTCACTTGGAGCTTCAGGCAGGAGGACCGATTTGTCTTTCACCCCCATCCCGTCAATG